TATCACCAGTGTCAGACCAGAGAACAACACCAAAAGGCGACCAGTACAAAGACAATGCAGTGCAAGAGCATTTATAGCTCGGGGTGAGTAGCTATATCATTGGACCTTTTGCCAGAATCAAAGTATAAAAAAATAGGAATCGGTTTTACCCTTTCTGGCAATAAAACAGGAGCTGTTAAGATGTTCACACACCAAATAGATGATTACTTTTTGCAAGGAATCAAGTTACTGCATTAACCACGCGTACTTGTGTTGAACACGCAAACAAACACGCTCTGATAGTAATCACATCGTCAGGACTGTGTTACGAGGACCCGGTGTGTTGCTATGCTGCACGGGTGTACTGCCAATACGTACAAATAACAATGACCGACTGCCTCCTTGCGCAGGGATGAACCCGGCCCAGCCCGAGTTCATGCGCGCACGCGCGGCAAGCGCAGGGCGAGGGGGAATAGAGCGGAGTGCGGGCGGTCGAGCGACTCCGACGAGGAGTGGACGGGGAGGAGGAAGAGGAAGGAGGTGGCGATGCACGGAGGACGAAGAGGCAAACGTAAAAGGGCGCTTGCAGACCGTGCAGAGACCCCCTGTAGACTCACACAGAGACCCCCTGTAGACTCACACAGAGACCCCTGTAGACTCACACAGAGGCCCCCTGTATACTCACGCAGAAACCCCCTGAAGACTCACAAAGAGACCCTGTGTAGAATCACACAGAGACCCCTGTAGACTCACACAGAGACCCCTGTAGACTCACACAGAGACCCCTCTCGACTCACGCAGAGACCCCCTGTAGACTCACACAGAGACCCCCTGTAGACTCACACAGAGACCCCCTGTAGACTCACATAGAACCCCTATAGACTCACACAGACCCCCTGTAGACTACACAGAGACCCCCTGTAGACTCACCAGAGACCCCTGTAGACTCACGCAGAGACCCCCTGTAGACTCACGCAGAGACCCCCTGTAGACTCACCAGAGACCCCCTGTAGACTCCACAGAGACCCCCTGTAGACTCACAGACCCCCTGTAGACTCACACAGAGACCCCCTGTAGACTCACACAGAGACCCCTGTAGACTCACACAGAAACCCCCTGTAGACTCACACAGAGACCCCCTGTAGACTCACGCAGAGACCCCTGTAGACTCACACAGAAACCCCCTGTAGACTCACGCAGAGACCCCCTGTAGACTCACACAGAGACCCCTGTAGACTCACGCAGAGACCCCTGTAGACTCACACAGAGACCCCTGTAGACTTACGCAGAGACCCCCTGTAGACTCATGCAGAGATCCCCTGTAGACTCACGCAGAGACCCCCTGTAGACTCACACAGAGACCCCCTGTAGACTCACACAGAGACCCCCTGTAGACTCACGCAGAGACCCCTGTAGACTCACACAGAGACCCCCTGTAGACTCACATAGACCCCTGTAGACTCACACAGAGACCCCCTGTAGACTCACACAGAGACCCCCTGTAGACTCACACAGAAACCCCCTGTAGACTCACACAGAGACCCCCTGTAGACTCACGCAGAGACCCCTGTAGACTCACACAGAAACCCCCTGTAGACTCACACAGAGACCCCCTGAAGAGACCCCTAACTCACACAAAGACCCCTGTAGACTCACACAGAGACCCCTGTAGACTCACAGAGACCCCCTGTAGACTCACGCAGAGACCCCTGTAGACTCACACAGAGACCCCCTGTAGACTCACGCAGAGACCCCTGTAGACTCGCTTGATGAAGCTGGTTGTAATCACCAGCGGAACCAAGTTAAATGCCCGCTCACGGCCAACACCAGTGACGACGATCCGAACCGGTCCTGAGCCTCCCCTAGGTTGACTCAGCGTCAAAATGAGTACCCGGTGCAGTGGTGTGTAGTAAACATCACAACTGGGGAGACAAAGACGGTCGGGCGTGTTGCTAGCTGCCCATCCCCCCGTGTGCCGTGCTGGCCTTCGTAGATGCTGCTTGCTGACAGCACTTGACCGCAACAGTCTGTGAAGGCTACACGGGGCATCTTTTTAATTGTGGACCGAGTTGGCACAGTCGCGGGCACAGGTGGTGCATCTGGCAGTCATCTCAGTAAACCTATGGCACCTGCAGGGTCCGTCTCGTGACCTGCACCTAGCCTGGCACAACAGTCAACCCATGGCATGGCACCTGGTTCTGTCCTGTGACAACAGTCTGTTAAGGCGGCACAGGGGAGATCATTGACTTTTTGGTAAATATGTGAGTGAGTAAATGTTTGCATGCGTAAATACGCGTGTGGGTGTGTTCACACGTGTGTGTGTGTGTGTTAATGCATTTCCGTGTGTTCACACGTGTGTGCGTGTGTTAACGCGTGTGCATATGGGGAGCGGTAGTGTAGCGGTTAGCGCGCTGCGCTATGAACCCGGCGACCCGGGTTCGATTCCCGCTCACGGTCAACACCAGTGACGATTATTTGAACCGGTCCTGTGCCTCCCCTATGTCGGCTCAGCCTCAACTGAGTACCTGGTGCGGTGTGTAAACATCACCACTGGGGAGACAAAGACGGTCGGGCGTGGTGCTGGCCACCCACCCCCTCGTGTACCGTTCTGGCCTTCATAGGTGCTCACTAACAGCACTTGCCCCTACAGTCTGTTAAGGCTATACGGGGGAGCTTTGTCCTTGCATATGTTCATGCGTGTCCGTGTGTTCACACGTGTGTGCGTGTGTTCACGTGTGTGCGTGTGTTCACGTGTGTGCGTGTGTTCACGTGTGTGCGTGTGTTCACGCAGGAGGAGGCAAGGGGGCTGCTTCACGCTGGGCCACCGTGGGAGAGTCTCACGCGAGGGCAGCTCCAGCAAGCGCAAGGTCTCTGTGCACAGCGCACGGCACTCCTCTCGTTACATCTGCTGCTGCTGTTGTCTTTAGTTTGTTGTCCTTCCCCCGCACCTCCCATTAGCGAGGTTGGCTACGTACGGTGACAAAGAATCAACGTACATACATACTACTAGACACTGCTATACCAGGGACGTGCAGTCAGGGGAGGCAGGCGAGGCAGAGCCTCACCTGTCATATACTCCAATGAAAATAGCTGTTAGGGGCCGTCCATAAATGACGTCACGTGATTTTTGACGATTTTTGACCCCCCCCCCTCGTCACACAGCGTCACAAAAAGTCAGACCCCCCTCAAATATGACGTCACAAAGCTCTGCCCCCACCCCCAAAAAAAAAAACATGCTTCAAATCGCTTTCAACTATTGTCATTGTAGTGCGTATTTAATGTGGCGCTGCACTCTGATGTTGTAGGAGAAAACATTTATTTAAAAGTCGAAATAATTAAGTAGAACGTGTTGTCTATATTTATTTAAAGTTGTGCATTTTGATGTGACGTCACATTTCTCAACCCCCCCCCCCTCGTCACACATCGTCACAAACGTCTGACCCCCCCTCCCCCCCAGGTGCGTGACGTCATTTATGGACGGCCCCTTACGAAAGTGAAAAAAATGTTCCACTGATTTGTGTTATAAATGTAATTTCTGTATAATTCCAATCATTACAGAGATAGTAACAGGCACGCGCTTATTGCCCGCGCTCCATCCAGTTTCTGAGGGGTTGCGCAATCAAGGGGAGGCTGAGCTTGTCGCTGCCTCACCTCTCGTCTCCCTGTATTTGCAGCGGAGCGCCGCAAATTTGGCGATTTTGACTGTCAAAATGATTGGAATCGTACAGAAATGACGTAACACAGATCAGTGGAAAAATCTAAATTTTTTAATCCTTTATATTAAGTTCACTTGCTTGCTTGCTTGCGCGCTTACGACCGTGCAAATCTTTCGGTCGTTTTTTAACCCACTTCCGTGATCCAATCGAGCTGACATTTTGCACACAGACTCGTTGTGCGTGACAATTTATTTTCGTGAAAATTTTTTCCATAACTTTACACTTTTTAGGAATTTTTTTTTAATATTTAATTACCAATTGCTTAATGGTGGCAGGCAATCATCTGACCCATAGGTGGCAGCCATCTCAAACCAGAGGACGAGAGGACTCTAGCCGCCATGCATATAAAGGATTTATAGTGAAAAACTTTGTTTTTATGGGTTAACTTTTTACTTTGTACTTTTCGTAACAGCTATTTCCATTGGAGTATAACAGGTGAGGCTGTGCCTCCCCTAACTCGCCTCACCACGGGGAGAGAGAAAAAAAGACGAAGACTCCAAATATACAGCAGCAGGCGTCAGGGTCAGGATCGAACCCATGACCTCCTGCGTACCAGGCGAGGTTGTTAACATCTCCTAGCCACCATGCCCCTCTGCATGGCACTCTGGTACAACGTTTGGGCTTATTATTATAATTAGTTTATTAATTAGTTTAGTTGTGAAGAGGCTTGGCCTGCCATACCCACCGAGGTTCAGCATGACGGCATGGTTCTGCTTGATGTATGAATA